ACGCAAACAAGGATCATGATCAGCTTTTTCGGAGCTATCTTGTGGAGACATTCGCTGTGTTTAAAGGTTTAGGGCTTAGGATTCAATAGTTTGTTGGCAATGGTGGAGAAAATTGTTCCTGGGCGCAAAAATTGTTCCTGGGCGCAAAAAAGTGTCGTGCTTTTGTTTTAAGCAATTGTTCCCGGCCGAAATTTGTGCCCAGGCGCAAATCCTGCTGGGAACGGGTCTCCAGGTCCTTCGGAGAGCCAGTCAAAGCCGCTCAAGCCAGCTGAACGCGAGATGTAAGCGAAGAGCTCGCCAACCTTTCGTCCAGGTCCGCTCGTCTTTGTCTTGCGCAGACAAAATTTTAGTCCCAGTTGCGAAAGCTTGAATGACTTCAGATCCACATGCTGCAAGTCCCCAGATCATTAATAGATCGCAGAATGCAACAAAACGAAGCCCAAGAGCCTGCGAGGTAGTGCAAACCAGCAGCTCCAAGGAAAGCAGCACGGCCACAGTGTAAAGCGGCGCTTGCTTTATGCTCAAGTTCTCGGCCTCGAGGTCGGACGTCCATGACCTCACGGTTTCAACCAAAATGGGGTCCATGCTAAATCTCGAATCAGGACTCACCTGCCCGATGGTCTCCAAAAGGGAGAAAGTGGCCAGCAAGGACTTCGGGACTGACTTGCCAATAGGCTTTAGCTCGTGACGCTCTTCAAGATAACCAAGAATTCGACCAGCGTCCTTTGGCCAACTTTCCCCATGGGTCGCAAGCAACCAGTCACTGAACGCACTCCAGTCTCGGGCACGATTGCGAAGAGTCTTGCCTCGCCTCCCACCGAAAAGCCTGAGCCAAGCCTTTGTATCAGCATTGAGCGCATCCATACGTTCTGAAACAGGAAGTCGTGCGTTCTTGATACACTCGACCAAGACCAGCCCCCATTTTTCTTTCAACATGCGCTCAAGTTCGTCAGCAGATTGGCCTGTACGCTTACGGGCCTTCAATGCGCGATTCAGAGCTGCAAGAGAAATACTTGGGCTGCCTGCAACCAAATCTTCGAAAACCTCTCCGATGGATTGGCCTGTCCGAGCTAACTTAGTGGGCCGTTCATGCAGAGTGCGGCACAACAGACTGACCGGGTCAGGTCCGCAGTCATCCAATCGCTGCTTCCAAGAAAACAACTGATGACCGATCCCTTTCACGGCATCTGCGCTTAATTGTGCTCCCAACATCTCATGTACCAGATCGCAAGCTTATGCGCCAAACAACTGCACGGGTGACTTGTAGATCTTACGCGCAGCAGTCAAGAAGCGGCTGTCCAGCAGTGAAAGATCCTCCCAGGTGCTCATCCCTGATCAAACCAGAACGTGAACAGCCCTGCGCCTCCTGCAAATAAGAAGCCTCTTCAGAACAGACAGTTTACCTCCCAAGGCACGAACCCATAGGAGACCGCTCGATTTCACGGCTGCCAGTTGCTCTTCAAGAGAATCAATGCGCTTGTCCAAACGATTAATATGTCTCTCCAAAATGCAAATCTGTGTTGCACACCACTTGCCCTGATCCAGGTTCAAAGAAGAGGCGTCCTCAAGACGATCCAATCGCTCCAGTAAGGTATCAGCAGCAGTGATGCTCATACGTGTTCCCAAAACAGTGCACAATTCAAGAAACTATTGCGCCAACGGTCCCCTAGCCCCACCAGACCAAAATTATAAAAGTCTTGTGCCGTAATCCACAACATCCACGGAAGTGTCAAGGCAATGCAAGGCATGAAAACTCGTTCACTCGCAACTGGGAAAACTGCGACCAAATTAACATCAAACAAAATGGTTTTTCCTATGGCATCAAGCCAGGCGCAAGTGGAAGCATATCAGACTAGAGGGGGCCCACCCACCCACCCAGCTAATCCTTCAGACAAACCCATTGGGGGACCCAAGGAGCCTGTTCTCTTTTCCACCATTCAATTCCTCGATACAGCCTGCCACTGAGGCATTTTCCTTCACCCCCTCCCTGATCCTGTGACCCGTGTAAGTCCAATAAGCTTTGACGAATTCATCGCCCCACCGCAACCCCATGTGCCGGTGAATCATGCCCCTTGCTGCCCTCAAAGAGCGTTGCTCATAGTCCACCCACAGCTCCGACCCTCCTCTCCTGATGCCCATCATCTTCCTGACACAGAGGCATTCAAAGTGGTTCAGCATCGCCTGCAGCTGCTTGCTTGGGAAGAGGATGCCTACAACCCACCTGATGCAGCCAAACACCACTGCCCTCAGCACCCCAATCTCCCCGCCAACGGTGCATTGGATCCCAAGATGTGCATCAGTCCAAAGAACTTCGACCTCGCCCTTTCAATGAGATGCTCCAGGATATGTTTCTCCGTCCCTTCGATCCCTACCGGCAAATTCATGATCATCAAAGGATCCCCCTGCGGCATCGGATACAACCGTTGACCATCCAATTCCAAGTACATGCCTGGCACATGTCTGACGCTGAGCAACTTGCACTTGGGGGGTTGAACGAAAAGACCAAATGCTCTCAGTCGTGGGAGCAGGGCATTCAGCAAGACTTGCAGTGCCTCCAACGAACTTCCCACCCGATGACGTCATCCATATAGCAACCCCCGTCTTCATTCAAGTCACTGAGTACAAGTGACGAGGAGTCACACGGTACTTCAAGAATGATCTCATGGTCGCACGCTCATTCAGTAGCCCTCTGGTGTCTCACATGTCAGGACAACAAAAAATGTCTGGGCAGATGAGCTCAGCCAAGATAAGCTGGGCCGAAGGTGTGATTTTGCATCCTCCGCGTGAAAGATGGAGTCTGATCTGCCTCACGCCCCAAACTCTTACGTGTTAGCTTGAACGGTAAAGTTAACCGCTGGCCCTGAACCCCACACTGTCCGGCCCGCTATGACAGGTGACGGCAGGCAAAAGGAAGCGTGAGGCGCGCTGGCTCTAGTGTTCGTGAGCTGTCGAATCGAAATCGCGCTCAAAACACGATTGTCTGCCCGCATACGCGACGGCGCTTCAGGTCGTCGAGTTCCTGGAAGCTAGAACCTGCCGCGGCGCAGCATAGCAGACAAAACCGAAAGCTATCTTCTGCGCTTGGATACAAGCACGTTTTGGCGCCGTGACCATCTTGGCGAAATGCAGAGTACGGGAACTGCAGCCACGAAATACGCTGGCTTCCAATCTGACACTCTGGACGCAAAGCTGGTTGCGAGAGCTACATGAGCGCTGAAAGTTTGAGAGACTGTAGAAGATGTGCGACACATGGAAAACCCCGCAGGAAATGCAGTGTGTAATTGCTTACTGCGGCTGGGACAAGGCAACCCCACAAAGACAGGCCTGCGCAAAGAGCGAAGAGCAGAAGCATCGGAGGCCGGCGCCAAAGCCAAGTCCAGACCGCCAGCGCCGTAGCCAGGCGCATCAGAGGCAAAGAAAAGGCTGTCTGGATCAATGCAAAGGCCAGTCTTCCAAAGTAAAGCCAGAGACGGTCAAAGACCGAAGCTAAGTTGCTTGTGCGATAAGCAACGCCGCGAACGATCTGGCAAGACACAGGAGGCTCGACCAACTGACGTGGCTGGCGTCGCCAAAGCGTGTCTGTGTGGGCCAAGGCTGCCCCAGCAAAGGCCATTGTAGCTCCAATACGAAATCCTCCAAGAATCCGACAAAGTCAACTGGCAAGAAGTTGATCTCTTTGAATTTTACCAAGGGGACTTGAGAAGATGGAAACAAAGACACCTTGATCAGCCAACGCGCCTTGACGGTGTTAACTAGGTGGACTAGTGCAACTGAGGAAGCGTCAAGCTGGTCAAGTTAAGGCCAAGGTCAGCCACAAAGCAAAGGCATGAGCTGACATGGCGCAAGACAGTCGTGTCTGAGTTCACCTGCAACAGCTTGGCCGATCCCGCGCAACTTTGCTGAAGGGAGCGAGAGTTTTCTGTGCAGCACTGCCCAGGCGAATTCTATGGATGTGTCACAGGTCTGGGACGTGCGACGGCGCCTGAGCCGCCTTGGTGCAGGAGCTGCCTGCTCGCAGCGTCGCTAGCGCTACTGACGCGCCTGAGGCGCCAGATTCGGTGTGTTTCGCTTGCAGGAGCATCTGTGCGCTGCAGAGCGGGGACGCAAGGCTGGATGTGGGGCATTGAAGAGGTTGTCTGGCCCCCTTCGAAGCCCCCTTCAAAGCCTTTCGAAGCCTCTTTTCAAGGGCTTGAAGTCCCCCTTCATTTTCGGGCTCGAAGCCCTCAAGCCCTTCAAACCCTTGAAGCCCCTCTTCCAGCTCTTAAACCTTTAAGGATGAGCTTAGAAGGTCAATTAACGAGGGTTTCAAAGGTTTTGTTTTTTTGTTTTTTTTTGGTTTTTTAAAACGGGGGTCGAGGGGAGGCGCAGGCTCCCCCGCGGAGGGTGGGGGGGGCGGAGCCGCCTCCCATGTCATTGTGTAAGATTCCAAAAAAAACCCTTCAATCCTTAAAGAGGGTTTAAAAGGGCAGAAGGGGACTTAGTGCGTTTTTCGGGTTTTTTTTTTACAAAAAGCAGAGGGTCGAGGGGGGGCGCAGCCCCCCGCGGGAAGGATTTGGCTGGAGCGGAACCTCCCCCATGTCATTGTGTAAGATCCCCTTTAAGCACCCTTCAGCCTACCCTTCAAAGCTCTTGAAGCCCTTGAAGCTCAAGCGTTGAAGTTCCCCTTCAAGGGTCCCTTCGCCGCCCTCCCCGGTCGAATGGCAAAGAGGTCCGTTTTGGAGTCCGTCTTGCGGCCCGGCCTTTAGACTCTCGTTACTTGCTTTCAAGGTTGCGGCTCCAAAATCTGGACCGCAGCACGGACCCAGATTAGAACTTCTGAAACCTACCCTCCGCCAGGCGCGGACATACTTTCAGTGGCTGAATTTTTGCCACGGGGCAGGCGCCTCGAGATTAACTCAATATGGATGAGACGTCCATTGAGCGGCATGTCTCCTACCTGCATGCGCTTGTCGTGCCGACAGTAAGTGGACAGAGGGCCCCCAAAGATGCGGCCTCCTTATCTGACCCTGCCTAGCCAGGCCTGTATGACGCATGGCGTGGCAGTCCACGACAGACTTCCTTAAGTCTTGCTCGGCAACGAGCACCAGTTTACACGGCAGAAGCCGCAATTCCCAACGATGGCGAACATGCATCCTTGCTTTCGAGCATCAGATCGGCACTCAACGCGGCTGCGCTGGGTCTAGTAAATACTTTAATTCAAGGTTTGGTACGAGGAATTCAAAGCATTTTGGAACCTCATTTGCTGTCAACAAGAGACAACCGCTTTCTCATAGTCGAATGGGAATTCCACGAGGATTTCCGCCACACGTGGACATTTGCCGGCAGAAGGCCTGCCAACTTGTTTACATACCTGCTAAAGTGACAGCCTTCTTGCAGCCCCTGGGTTTGCAATGTTCAAGCTGGCGTATCGCAACGCCAGGAGAGAAACCAAATCCACAGCCACGGCTGGTTCGCCAGCTCACTTTTGCTGTCAAAAGCGCGCCCATTCCTCGAGAATGTGTGCCTTCCCGCGTGAGAGTAACTGAACGTTGCGAAGTCACCTTTTTTTTGCTCTTACATGGTCTCCACGCCATACTACATCCAACCTTAGCGCTTGCAACAAGACAGAGGAGTTCTGCAACTGTGGAGGAGGCGAGGCAGGTTTCACCATCAAGCCTCCGCAAAGGCGGGTTTTGGCGGAGCTGTGCCCACAAACTTCTTGGAAGCATAATCGATCCCGCGTAGAAGCAGTCTTGGACAAGTCGCGTTTGGAGCCTTCGCGGAGCGATATTGGCGGGTCAGAAGGCGGCTCCACGCGGGTTCCGCGCGGGTCCATTTGCAAT